CCATTCAGAGGCAGGGTATCCCGGGTATCCGCGCGGATACCCGCCAACGCTGGCGGGTATCCGCCAGCGTATGCGGATGCGGATGCGGATGTCCAATTTCGCTGAAATGGTGAGAGGATATCCGGATGCGGCGCGCCCATCTCTAAACCAGACTGGAAAACAAGGATCAGAATTCTGAGAACCAAATGGTGTATACAGCCTGAAAGACATTATGAAAGCAAAAAATAAATTTACCACATCAGATTGATATAGATTGTGAGAGACCAGCTGAGAGAAGGGCAGAGAGCAGAAGACAGGACTGCAATATGAATGAGAAGGGAGATCAGTTGTGATCCAGGGAGCAGTAGATTGACATTGTTCCTTTTCTCACCAAATAGAATCCGGCAAGGTCATCCTTGAGTTGGAGAAGGATTAGCAAGGTTGACAATGAATTTTTTTGAAAAGACTTGGGATGCTTTCACTTAAGTTGAAGCAAGTGCAGTTGGTGATTGTTGGCAACAGGTGAGAACATGTTGAGAGCTGAGAAGCCACTTGAGATGAGAGAAGATGGGTGGATGATTGAGTTGCAAGATGCAGGAAGAAGCCACCTGTTATATGTGAGAGAGTAGATCAATAGAGTTTGAGATTGTGGTTGAGTTTCCTAGATTAGGTGTTCACGGAAAGATTGCCAAAGCCTAAGGTTTCAACAATTTGAGTTGAAGAACAAGGCTCAACAAAGTCTTTGGATGTCAACTGCCAGCAGTTTCTCAAGTTTTTCTTGTAGTGTATAGCTCATTTTAAGGGTTGAATTGTTAAAAAAATACCAAAAGAAAAGGAGATGTGGAATTGTTAAAAATGCATAAAAGTTAGCCTTCTTGCTTGTGACATGGTGGCAAAAGCTGGTCTGATGAGATTGTGAGACTTCAAAAGCTTCTTGATACAATGTGAGAAGATCATAGCACTTGGTGGAGGTGTGGGAAGCTCACTGTGATCATATAAAAGTCCAATGTATTGCTGTGTAAAAGCAGGGAAAATAACAATTTAGATTACAAAAAAAAATCAGATCAAATTTAGTGAAAAGTGGTCATTACAAATTGGGGGTTCCACTCCCTCATGATTGGTGCAGTGCCCCAATCAAACCCGTGGACACCCTTCCCAGGCCCGTCCGTCCAGGCCCGCCAAACTTTTCTCAGGCCACGTCGACCACAACTTCCAACAGACCAACTTGTTCACGACAACCACCAATCAGCCACATACTTAACCATCACACATTTTGCCATAGATATCCAACAAGAAAAAAAAAACAAGCAGGTATGTCACCACGATCGGAACGCGGATCGTGTGATGTGGTTCTCCGTTGAGACTGTTTTTTTTTCTCGGCTGACATCGACTATGGTTTTTAGTGATGCCAACTCCGTCCCTCGTTCGAACTCTAAAGTCCATTCAGAACCTCGTCGATCAGCAAGAATGGTATGCTGCCCATCAAGTAAGTCAGGCGTACTAACATACTCAGCTCCATATTATAGGAGCGATATATTTTCCCTGAAACTCACTGACACTAAACCAAATTGGGGTTTTAGAAATATCGTACTTCGGCGGCACGTCTTCTGAAGTCGAATGAACAGGCTTCGATCCAGGATGCGATCTCATTGTTATTTGAAGGGTCTAGACTGTTATTGGAGCGAGGACAAACAGGCTCGGGGACCGACCTCGGGCTGATGTTAATCCGGGACGTACTAGTGGCCAAGAAAGTCGGATTAGGAGTAGAGGAGCGAAACAAGCTCTTGACGCTGATTACCCTGACAGGATCATCGGGAAGCTGGAGGAAGACCTTGATCGATGCCGCAGTGTCTTGGACTTGCGATGCTGGAGATTGTCCTACGGGCGATCCAGCGTTACATCTGGCTGTCGGTGAACGACTTTTCAAGGAGAATCAGTTCCAATCCGCCGTCATCCATCTCCTATCGGCTTGCAATCGGGACGCCGCGAAAGTGCTATCAAACGTCTTATGGGCTTGGTCGAAAGAGGATAAATCAAACCCGGATGGCTGTCTCTCCGGTCGATACGCAGCCGTGGGTGTTCTCGGCTACCTCGAACTGGGCTCGATCATTTCCGCTCGTAGCTTCCTGGAAGATTTCCTCCAAAAGACTATCTCCACATATCCCAAGCTTTTGAATTGTGAACTGCCTGCCGATTGTAACAACAGCACGATCCACGTCTTTGTCGTACCATCGCTCAACTTCCTTCAGCTCCTAATTCTTACTTGCCAAGTCGGTCCTGGCTCGTTACCAAATGGTTCGACCCCTCCCCCCAACCACACCGGCCCTACTATCGGTAAAGCAGTCTATCAAGCTATGATTGGTCGTTATTCCCGCTTCGATGGCTGGGTTTCCTCACCTGCTATTCAAGAAAGCTTTGCTACTCTAGCTGAAATGTATTTTGGTATCAGGTCAGAACCTCTTTTTCATCTACCCACTTCAAAAAACGACCTCCATCTTTATTTTGAAAAGGCTCACTCAATCTTGCCATTTTGGCCCAAACTCTACAGACAACAACGACAAGGAGGGAACATCCTGAGTGATCTAATGGGATCCTTGTTTTCCGGAGGGCCTGGAGGGCCTGGTTCATCATCACATCCTCCCAGTTCTCGCACTAACAAATCGATTGAACCTTCTGGTGGAATTAGCACTCCTACTCTAGATTAAACGCCTCTTCTTTGCCTATCTTTTTTGTCTATGGTCGCTTGGTTTTTGAGGATCCTCTGCCTTTCAGAATGTTTCTTTTCTTTTCTCTATCTCTAGGTGTAATTAAAAGAAACATCTAAAGCAACACATTGTATATGACCCCTTTCTCCTTTTTTATCATTTTTTTTCTTGTGTCTTGCTTATGGCTGTGGTGAAATCTTGCATGCAGAAAAAAGCTAAGCCAGTGTGTCAGCAATCTATGTGTTGATTGTATCCAAGCTGACTAACAGTGGAGGGCTTCCTGTTAGCTTAGGTGGATTTGGGCTGTCTATTTCTAAGAGCAACCCCACCACTGGTGGTAAACATTTTTATCACCCATGTTCCAGAGGTGCTACCTGAGATTCAGGCAGGTGTGCCACTGCAAATTAGTAAACCTGCACGGGTGAGTGAGGGATATTGGTATGTGAAAGGGTTGTGAAGGGGTTGTGAATATTGAATTTTCACAAGGTGGTAGATCTATAACATTTGTACATTTTTGGATCTGGGATTACCACCTGTGGTGGAGTAAGAGTTGCTCTAGAGGGCCTTGGCCAATTGACTCCCAAAAATTAGGGAGTTGACTCCTAAATTGGGGGGACCATCTCATGATGTTGCCACCCCCTGAAATCCCCCCCCCTTAAACTTTCTGCCTCATATATCTTCTCTTCTTCTCCGCCCTTATCTTCGCAAGCCTGCTCATGATTCAAATTTTGTCTTTTGGCTCTTATTTAGGTAGTATAGTAAATGATAAATAAAAATCTTTCACCTGGAACAGTGTGCAGATTTGTCAGACATGACTTTGTGAAGGTCCTAGTTCTCTCCTAGAAAAAGGGTTGGATCTCATTTTATAAATGTGTGATAACATCACGATCAGCTGATCATATTGACATTTCCCACAAATCATCATCATTTCTGATCCATGTTTTGCAACCTTTCCAGTTTCCGATGCACTGTATTCATTACAGTTTTAACTTGTGCACAGCATCCCCCTGGAAAGTCCCGCCCCCAAAATAAATCTTAACAAGCTGGCTGAGTGATCAATGGGGGTGGGGGTCAACATGCACATGTGACCATAGTTTTGGAGTCTTTTCAACAATTAGAATTGAAATCTAAAACCACTTGGTCATTAGACCAGTGGTGCTTTTTTTATATGTGAATTCTTGTGCATATGCATAAATTAATGCATAATCATGGTATCATAAATAAAAAATGGTGTGTATATGCATAAATTAAGTGCATAATCATGGTATCATAAATAAACAATGGCTATGATTTTGCATCTAAGTACAGTCACCTCCCAGATGTTTATAGCCAGTTTGTTTGGATTACACAACCCCAACCCACCAACTTGAAGTCATGAGACTTGGAAAAGTGGTATAAAATAGGGTTCAAAAAATTATTCTGAAATCAAAAATATGAAAAACTAATTTCTAAAATTTGAAAAAAAGATTACAGTTATTGCACTTTTTTCAGAAGTTTTAATATTGCTCCAAATGAAAAAAGAAAAATTGGAAGTTTGAGTAGGGTATGCTGGAGGAATGATAATGAATGAAAAATTTGCAAAAAAATAAATACTAGATGGTTTTAAACTGGTGTGGAGTCATGAGGCATTCACCAGACTCACAGTGGAAAATACAGTGAAAAAGGCAGTGTGATCAAATTCACCTTGCATTTTGACCTGGATACTGAGCTCTAAACAATTTCTGGAGTTCATTTTTTTCATTTATTATCATTTTCCTTGCATACCACACTACTTTTTCCAATTTTTATCTTATCATGTGGAGCAATATTGCAACTTTTGAAAAAAGTTCAATGATTGTAATATTTGTTGCAAACTTCAAAAATCAGTTTTTCATATTTTTGTTCTCATAATCATTTTTTGAAACCTATTTTGTACCAATTGATCATGTCTCATCATTTCAAGTTGGTGGGTTGAGATTTTGCAATCCAAACAAACTGGCTATAAACATCTGGTAGGTGACTTTACATAAATATGGCTGATGGGTGGCCCATCATCACATACCCATGGTCAGTTTTTCTCTCCAGGGCAGTGGAGCCCAAAACCCCCAAACCCCTCAAACCCCATGTGACACCCCCACCACTCACAGGTGTCACAAAATAATCTCAACCTGATTACATAAACATTTAATCCCAAACCCATTCAGTCCTCACAGCCTGATCCCCCCCTCTCCTAGCCTGGTAGAGAACCACACCACATTTCTTTTCTACTGAGCTAGCTCACACGCAATTCAATTTACTTGGGTTCTAGAATTGGTTCTCTCTAGGCTACTTGCCTGCTTTTATTGCACCTATTATATCCATCCAATCAGTGAAGACTCAATGTGACTCTTGCACCCCTTCAGGAATTTAAAAAACAATCTCCTTGACCATCCAGACTCCCCAAACCATTTTTGTCAGCCTTAGAGCCAGCCAAATTGGCCTAAAGACTGCTTACACTACAAAAAATACCGATTTTGCCCCAGGAAAAAATGGCAATTTGGTTGGTGCAAAATAGGTCACTTTCCTGAGCATTTTTTTACAAAATGACTCAGGAGTAAAAATTAAGCTAAAATGAGCTATTTTAGCCAAAAAAATAAAAATGCCTCAAATGAGCTAAAATTAATTCTGGAAAGTTTGAGGCATTTTTATTTTTGAGCTAAAATAGCTCATTTTAGCCTGATTTTTACTCCTGAGTCATTTTGTAAAAAAAGCCTGAGGAAATTAAGTCCTTTTTTCATGAATTCAGAAATGAATGCCTCTTTTAATTTTAACATTAGTCAGACTTCACCCCTACACACTTTTACACTACTCTTCTCCTTCATAAACTTTGTAATATTTCACTGTACCTTGTGAAATATCAACCAAGTTAGAATTTCAACTCTCTACCACATGTACATGTTGTGATTATGTAATCCAACTCTGAAAATTCTCTCAGTAGACAATGAGTTTGCATTTACAGGATCTTCAAGCTTCAGACCCAGCCAGAACCAACTCAGACCAGAAAACCAGCATACCTCAACTTGGATTCACTGCTGTATTATTGCCATGTTATCGTTAGGAGTCTTTTACTTGTTGGAATCTTCCCACTCTTTGTGTCAGGATCACCAATAAGTAATTCATTCCTTCAAGTTCAGCTTGCATCTTTCTGCTAAGTTCCTTCTCTGTCTCTCTGAATGGTCACGCCATTCCTTTTCTACTAAACCTCTGCCTTAATCATCATCAAATCACATCAAGTCATTATTATTCTCTGTTTGGTGGTATAACTGAAAAACACCTTGGTTTCCCTTTAAAAAACCTTGATCATTGATCTAAAAAATTGAGGTTGGATTGATATATCAATACCAAGTACCCTTTTCAGTTTCATTTGATTAGGAGGTGTAGATTAATTCTGCTTAAGTAACAGCCATCCTTTTATAATAAAATAAATAAACAAATATAAAACTTTATTCTTTTCCTTTTCTCCTTTCTTTATCTCTCCATCTCTCATTCTATTTGTATTTCCTTATCCATCTGAAATACATCTAGATTTTCCCCCCTGAACCTTGTGTCCTGCCATCACATTAGGGACCCAGGCTCACAATTTTACAGTGGAATGATGCGTGCAACTGTACACTCCCAGCTTTTGGGGTGCAAATCTAAGTATTATTGATTTTTGGGATTTCAATGGTGGAAATTAGAGATCGTTTGTTGGTACCCATTGCTAGGTACCTCTTACCGCTTGGCGGGTACCGCCCGCACCCGCCAGGCGGTGCCGGGTGCTGGTTTTTTGGCAAAAAATGAGGCGGTACCCGGGTACCGCTAGGGGTACTGCCCCACAGCCCTGCTATAGGGCGGGGGGGGAAGTGATTGGCTGCACCGGGGGGGCAGTCCCTCTTCTGGCTGAGCTGATCAATCAATCAATATTGACCGACTGCACGCCAAAAAAGGACCTTCGACCACTCCCCCCTGGCCAAACCAATTGATCGATCCGTATCGACCGACTGCATGACAAAAAAAAACCTACCCCCTTGAAGAGAGATCGATCATCAGTGGGATTCAAAGTAGGCTTTCCCACGTGTGCAAATGATCTTGCACAACAACTTGCCCCCCGCCAAAAACAAGAACTACATTGAGCACCCCAGTTTGGGGTTGGACCAGCCCTGCCAAACAACTCAGCTCCACCCCTTGGCAACTGGATCATCCAACACCGTTTGATTAACATTGAATCCCCACCCAATGACAAAAATTCAGCCTACTACAAATTCCAAAACCGCACCCACACTCATCATCCCTCACCCAAATTTGCCTGTTGGCCCTCAAGGAACCTCATTACTGTACAGAATCATCACTCACCCCTCATGCCACGACACACGGAAAGAGGTTCGACCCTCATGCGAATGACCCGCCTCATACAAAATCAAGTCCATGGGGCGCTCATCAAATCCGCATTGAATGACGACAGCAACACCTCGAGCGAAGACAGTGACTTGGAGGAGGCTATCGTGGCTCTCATCAAAATCAAGAAGAATCGTTACTTGGCACCTCGTCTTCGCCTGGGTCGGGCACCTGACAACACTGAATACCTATTTAGCCTAGATAACTCACGCTTCAAGCAAGAATTTAGGATGTCTCAGCAGTCTTTCTGTCGGCTTATATTGGAAATTCAAGACCACCCGGTTTTTCACAACCAATCAAATGTGCCTCAACGACCTGTACCCGAACAATTGATGGTGACATTGAAGCGGATGGGAACACATGGTAATGGGGCCTCAGTCGGAATGTTGGCTCGGTTTTTCCGGATATCGGAGGGAACCGTCATACTCTACTGTTCCAGGGTCATCGAGGCCATATTGTCACTAGAATCGTAAGTAACACTTTCCAATCTGTCAAGAAGCTAGGAGCAGATATAGCTAACCATTACTGTATTGAACCAGAAATTATGTATCATGGCCCAGCACCGAAGAACGCCAAGAGATCGCGTGGCAGATATCCAGCCACACAGGGTTCAGAAACTGTGTTGGGTTTATAGATGGCACCCTTTTCCCCCTATCCGAGAAGCCTTCAATTGATCCACAAGACTACTACTCGAGAAAGGGCCACTACGGCCTTGCAGCATTGATTGTTTGCAATGAAGCAAAACGAATCATATACTACGTTACTGGATGGCCTGGTAAGCATCACTTTATTCACTCATGGCTCTGTCTGAGGTTTTTCTAAGATGCTTCTCTCCAGGCTGTTGTCACGACACTCGATTATGGGAGAATACTGAGCTCAAGCTTCAAAAAGATCAACTGTTCAGCCCAGGCCAGTACCTCATAGCTGATTCAGGTTTCCCACCGGAAACCAACATTGTGCCGGCTTTCAAACGGCCTCCCCATGGTGCAATGGAACGTGCCAGGAAGCGATTCAACCAACATCTCAGCTCGCTTCGGGTGTGTAATGAACATTGTATTGGTCTCTTGAAGGGTCGTTTCCAAAGCTTGCGGGGCCTTCGGAAAGATCTCAACTCAGCTGGAACAATGGAGAAGATCACACATTGGATTTCGGCTTGTGTGATTCTCCATAACTTCCTTCTTTCTGATCAGTCCCCAGATGTTTTCACCGATGTAGATGACAATGACATCCATGGTCATGATGGAGCCCGAGAGCCTCGCAACGAATTGGGTACCCAACTCCGTGATCAAGTGTTTGGCGAAGTGACTGAGTACTTGGAGTCATAACTTTTTCATCCCTTTCTCATCAGATATTTGCTTTTAGATCATCTTGTACTGTAACAGAGTGTATCAAAAACCTTTTCTCCTACATCGGCTTGTTTGTTCGTATTCTTCAAATTCATGACTCATCGTTTATCAAAATTCAAGCCCAATTTTTATTGGGAGTGACCTTAGATTTGTTTCAGATTGCTCGGAACCCGAGTTATATACAGTATGCTATCTTGACGGGTGTGGTGACCATAGGCCTATCGTATGTGATGGTGCCGTTATACCGAGCATTCTGTTTGGCCACCGGATACAACGGCACCTCATCGACATCATCCTCTGGAGATGGCTCCGGCAAATTGGCCCCTGACTGCATCGCCCAGCCTGTCTGCCAGAAATCAATCACCTTCGCATTCGGTTCCCAACAGAGCGATTGGCTAGGCTGCTCTGGCGGAGTGAGCCAAGGATAGATTTCAAGTGAGTTTAACATAGCTTTTAGAAAGTAATTTCGAATCGGTGGGCGCGGAACCTACCCCTAGTTTGATGGGAGTTACTTGAGGTATCTGACGCGTGATCTTTTCCAGATCGATCTCGCTCGATCATGTCCTTGAATACGATCTACCCTCTGATCTCTCTAACCCCTCAAACCAATCGGAATGTCTTGGCTTTCCTTCGCTTGGTGATCGTTTGTCTGATTGCTGGCGCGGCGGTTTCCTCTCGACTGTTTGCCGTCATTCGGCATGAATCGATCATCCATGAATTCGAATGGAAAGCTCTGGCCCTGTCAGAAATCTTCGCTCGTTCAACCGGGCGAGACAGTCCTCGACATTTATTGCTTCGCTCGTTCAACCCGGCGAGACAGTCCTCGCCATTTATCGCTACTTATAAAGGTAGAATTTTGTCGCTTCGACCAGCAACAGTTATGAGCGAGCGAAGAAGGGGACCTGCCCATCTTCTTTTTCATCGACAAGGATTTCGATGAAAAAGAAGATGGGCAGTAGAATGTTTTCGCTTCAACGAGCAACTGTTGTGAGCGAGCGAACAAGGGGACCTGCCGATCTTCTTTTTCATCGACAAGGATTTCTATGAAAAAGAAGATCGGCAGTAGAATGTTTTTGCTTTGATGAGCAACGCTTATGAGCGAGCAAAGAAGGGGACCTGCCGATCTTCTTTTTCATTGACAAGGATTTTGTCGAGGATCCGTTGATGAAAGACATCAATGAGTCTTTACTACAAATCAATGTGCCAAGGAGTCCCTGAACCACTCATTACCTTATCGATTCTGCGGCAAAAACATGTAGGAGCGACATGACTTCTCACAAACTTCGGAAAACCATTCGGCCAGTCACACACCAAGACTAGCTAAGTGGATGACATATTTCATTGAATTCAGTCCATTACAACAATGATTTTATGAGATGGGGGAAAATGGTCACAGATACTGCAGAGAAGAGAAAAGGAAGCGGGGAATACAAGTGTAAAATGAAACAAAAAGCAAAAAAATGACTAATCAGAATTCTCAGAATTCTCATTGGATAAGGTGTCATCCATGTCGGCGCAGGGGGGGAACTCAAGAGCAGCCTTTCGCTCAATTTCTTCAAGGGACAAGCCATGCTCCCTGAGTTCCTTCATGTAGGACACTTTGACCTTGCTAGCCTCAGCGCGTGCCCTGGTGACCTCAGCCTGCCGTTTGGATATTATTGACATCATGTAAAGGTCCTCGGTGTTGTTCTTCTTTTTATATTTGGAGGGACGGGATGAGCCTCGGCGAGTCGAACGGTTGGAAGATTTAGGATTGTTTCTGGTTTGAGAATGGTCTACCGGTGGGGGGTGGACTGGCAAGGGTGGTGCAGTTGTGGCTGATGGTGGAGGTGGCATGAGTAAAGCCGAAGCATCAGGGAGGATCACGGCATCACCGGGAATTGCAGGAGACTGGGAACTAGTCGGATTGCTGGCTGGGTATTCAACCGCAGCGCTATTGTCAGTCGCATCATTGTTGGTTGAATCTTGGTGGCCAGGTTGATCACCACCAACTGAGGATCGAATATGAAGTGGCTCCGTAACTGATCTGGCTGCCATGATGGGATCGAGGATGTTCCAATAACGACAAAGCTCATAAATGCGATCTGGATGGCCCAGTTAGAGGTTAGGTCCGGCCTTGAGACATGTTCATGATGGAGTCAAGAGACATGAACTGACCGTATACGGTGTGCACCCCGTTGAGCTCATCTGCAGCCATGATACCCTCCCCGGTGTTCTTGACAAAGTCACGAGCCGTGTTGTAAGAAGATTGGAGATCTCCAATCTTTTGTCGGACTCCTATGAAACAGAGAAAAAAGTGGTGAGAGGAATTAGTGCCGGAAAGCAAGAGGCATAAATATTCAGGAATACTCACCCTTGGTGTCTCGATGTCTGATACCCTTTTGGTTCATGATGTGGACAATCTCAGAGCATAACCGGGTCTTGGTCATGCCTTTCTCATTATCGCCACGCCATCGTTCGTAGTTGTTTCCGGTTGAGAGCCAGTCCAGAACAATGTCAATGCTGGAGTCTCCACCATTTACACCGTCTCGGTCCCATGGGATGGCCTTTTTCTTTGTTTTGGATTGCCTCGCCTGGGCTGGGGCTCTTCTTGGAGGCATGGTGGGAAGTCAGGTCTGTTGGGACGGGTCAAGAGGTTGAAATTGGGTTGAAAACAGTCGAGTGAAGTGGTGGGAACAGGGAGAGGAATCAAGGATGGAGTCGGCTTTTTGAGCAATTTTGGGGTGGTGTTGGGTCCATGAGTGGGAAGGGGTATTGAGGCTGGATGGTGACTCGTGAGTGAGAATGGCCACATCAACAAGACTTGCATGGCAAGGCAAGTCGGTGTTCAAGCCTACAGTTGAATGTCGGCTGGCCAATCTTACTTGCATGCATCCCCGCCAAAATGTGTTAGGCAAATTGGGATGCATGCGCGCGCGGGCTTACTTTGAAACCCACTATCAAACCAGATGGCTTGCGCTTGCAACCAACGGGGGTCCAACGAGTCTCGTGCCTGGTCGCCAATGTGCGACCCCCAAGCAGAGAGGGAGTCAAGGTGGAAGCAAAGGCTTCACCCAGCCACCTTCTGCAAGCAATCCCCAGCCCCCATCCGCAAGCAATCAAGCGCGGACCAATCATGAGGGGCCAGGTAAGTCCTCCCTCTCTCTAGTACTAAAAATTCATGTTTTCTTGCTTGTTTTTCAGCAATTTCCTGATGTTTTTCTTGACTTTTTGTATTTTTTTACTTTTGAACTCTTACAGGTAATTCTTACATTTTTTTCAGCATTTTGCTGATGTTTCATTCCTTTTTTTTTAATTATTCTTTTGAACTTGGACAACTTGCTGATTTTTTTATTTTTTTTGACCTTTTATAGGTAATTCTTACATTTTTTTCAGCATTTTGTTGATGTTTCATTCCATCTTTTTTTTAATTTTTCTTTTTCCAATTAGTTATTAGTTGTAGATATTTTTCAATAAATATGAAAAAAAAGAAAAAAAAAGTGACTTGTCTGGCCGTGAAATCAATAATTTTCAACAAAATGAAAGAAGTGACTAAGAAAAGGAAAAAGTGACTTTAAAAAATTAAAAAAGTGACTTGCAACTCTGGGAGTGAACACTGATAAAAATGAATAAACATGAAAAAAAATGAAAACAAGTGACTAAAAAATGAAAAAAGAGAATTGGGACTCTAGGAGAGAAAATAATAAATATGAAAAAAATACAAAAAGTGAATTGGAACTGTGGGAGTGAATCTAGGTGAGAAAGAGAGGGGAGGTACCTGTGGTACCGGCCAAAATTACCGCCGGTACCCGCCGAGAGGCGCCTGGTGCGGTACTTGGTACCTATTTTCTGAAAAAATTCAACAGGTACCCGAGTACAAACGAACGATCTCTACTGGAAATTCTAACCAGCATTTCAACATTTTATATGTAGGAGCATAACTTTCCACATTTAGACTGATGGCAGTGTCATTTCCTCTGTTAGTGGTAGAGAATACAGATGACAGCAAAAAGGTAACTCTGAATCATATTTTTTGCGTTTGAGAACAAGAACAAGTTGATATTTATTTCAGACTACCAGGCACCACAGGATTCTTCTTGGCACTTGACTGCAAGTGCCATCAGGTAGTATTTTTCTGGAACCTTGTTAGATGTCTCATAAAGCCTTACCCTCAGATTATGCTGAATGTATGATGAATCTACGCTGAAATTATTCTCAAATCAACTGTTGAGTTTTCACCGTCTTTGCCTACTCTTCCCTAAAATTCAACCAATTCTGCCTCTTATCTTCTCATTTTATTTCTTGAGTCTTCCTTAGAATTAGACTGGATTATAGCCTTTAAGTAGCCTGTTTTCTGTTGCCTGAATTCACTTCTGAAGTCAATGGAACTTATTGATCTTGTCAACAACTCATGTCTCTCTAAAGTCTTCCTCCTTTTTCTAATCTGGTTTACTCCTCAAAATCTGATTGTTAAGAATTAACAACTCTTATACATTTGTGGTATCATGTATGTTTTTTACGATTAATATGCATGCTTGTCTAAAAGAGACTGAGAAGACTTGTCCGGCTATTTCTTCCATGAACTCATTCATTTCTTCCTCTCAGATTTTATTCATAATCACTCTTTATTGATTTTCATTTCTACCACATCTTGCGCACTTGTACTTAGTCTACTTAACCTTGGCGGGCGGTACCCGCCAAGCGGTACGAGGTACCTAGCAATGGGTACCAACAAACGATCTCTAATTTCCACCATTGAAATCCCAAAAATCAATAATACTTAGATTTGCACCCCAAAAGCTGGGACTGTACAGTTGCACGCATCATTCCACTGTAAAATTGTGAGCCTGGGTCCCTAATGTGATGGCAGGACACAAGGTTCAGGGGGGAAAATCTAGATGTATTTCAGATGGATAAGGAAATACAACTAGAATGAGAGATGGAGAGAGAAAGAAAGGAGAAAAGGAAAAGAATAAAGTTTTATATTTGTTTATTATACTTGTGAAGAAGAAATTAAAAGAAACTGAGATCTGTGATTTATTGCATAAAAGAGCCAACACACTAGAAGAGAAAATATCAATGAGAAAAGAAAGAAAATAGGAAGAGAAGAAGAGAAAGAAAGAAATAGTTGAAATAGGACCAACATTTGAGAATGGACTTGACGGAGAGAGAGTTGGAAGAGGAAGAACAAGAACAAGAATTGAGGACTGAAGAAGTGTTTGTCAGTGAAGAGAAGTTGAAAGAGAAGAGAATGAGAACAGTCAAATCTCACCAGGCAGAAGAAGAAGAAATCAGGGAATAGAATGAGGAGGTAGTAAGATTGAGATTGATTGATTGAAGGAGGTGATAGTGTGTGTAATAGAGATTGAGGTGAATGAGGACATGAGGTTTGACAAATGAGATGAGGAAGTTAGGAAGATTCAGGAAATGGAGAATGAGGTTTGATCCGAGAGTGTAGAGCTTGTGACAGGTCTGTGAATTTAACAGAAATTATTGGCTCTTTCACTCTTTTTTCTGTGAAATTTTCCCAAAAAAGAATTCTTCTCTTTTTGGCCCTCTTCTCTTACGCGCCTCAGTCCAAAAATTCAACATCAACTGAGTTCATGTTGTAAACAGGTTGAAGTCAACTTGAAACTGGCTCCTTGAAGTTCTTAAAGAACTGGAACTCAAAAGCAGGTGCCAAGCAAACTCCCGTGGTGAGGGTATGTAAAATGAAACAAGGATGATATTTTGTATATTTTGTAAAATTGTAGGCAATAGATTCCTGTATGTGTGTTTTCATCAGTAGAGAAACCAGGAGCAGGGAGAAGGATAAAACTAAGGTCTTATTTGGAAGGAGTATAATGTGGAAATTGTATGATTTTTTTCCCTGCAATCCTATGTGAAATGTGATCAGGCCTTCTAATGAGCCATCAGATGTCACAACAAATCACTATTATACTGCTGCCAAAAAAGCCTAAAAAACAGAGAAAGATAACAAAAGAGTCATGGAATTTGAATCTTGATTTATGTTTTGACCAAACTGGCACATAATCTACTGATAACCACATAATGTGAGGGTTTGGAATCACCTCACTGCACCTTTCTGGAATAGAACCTGAATTGGGGTGCTGAGGGAGACTTTCTAGAACCAACACGCAGCATTTATTTCTAGCTCAGCAGAATTGATAGTGAAGAATAAGTCTCTCATCAGTACATGATTTGACAACATAAAAGGAAGAATAAAAGATAAAACAGTATTTCTGCTCACCTTTAATTCTCTTCTAGCACTGAGTAAAACTCAACGTTCAATACCTCATTTGAATTGACATTGATATGTGCATTTGTGTGACTTGGAATAGAATCACGCAAGATTTCTGTATTTTGACTGTTCTTTACAACACAAACAATAGTTTTTGAAAATTCATTCATGATGGACCAGTGGTTACCAGGGGAACTTTCACATTGGCAGGGCTTGATTGCAACTAAATTGTAGGTTGTGCCCTCTACCACTACACCCAGGGAAATGTTTTGTCTTGGTGCAATTTTTTGCTTTGGAAGAACAAGTTTATTTATCAATGCAGTGTCAGCCAGATTGGCCATAATACTGACCATGAACCAAAGTAGCCAAAGGAATGATTTATTGTTGGCCATTTTGCTGCAAGTTCTCCTATTTATTTTCTTCTCAAAAAGCCTTGATAAAAGATAACATGAAAAATTTGTGATTGAATAAGAGAATTTACTCTGGAAAAACTTCTTTAAAATTAAGCAAAAACCAACCTTGAGACTGACTGTAGAGCCACTGAGGAATATTATTGGAGCAATGTTTTTATATGCAGTCTTCACCCCTTGTAATTGATCAATCAACCAAGATATATCAAACCTGGGTTGAGAAAAGAAATTAGCCATACAGGTTTCTAAATTCCAAAAAAACACCTTTTGGTTTGACATACACAAACAAAAGCCACTTGTCTCAGATAGAATGTGAGGTGAAAAATCAAATAGATGACTAAATGTAGACCAGGTAATTCAAACTAGCATTTATCAGAATTGGTAAAAAAGCAATTTTATAGTAGTCTGTGAAAAGTGATTGTGGATGGTCAAAAGACTGGCCTCTTTTATAGCAACCAAGGAGCTCGATGTCTGTCAATATGAGAAAATGTAGTTTCACCAAAGTTTCAACCAATACAAACTAACATTCAGTTAAAATCAAATTGTGGAGAACCTGAATCCCCCTATCTTTTACACAAAACTTGTATCAAACACTCACTGTCAAACATACCCTGAAACAACAAGACAATAAATATAACAGTATCAAATTTGAAGTATTTGTATCAACATCACAACTGAGCAGTATCTTATTTTACTCTTGCCTTGGAAGTTGGGAGCTTTACAAATAAGATTGCTTCAATTTGAATGCTTGCCTTGGAGATTGTTGTCAGCATTGCCAGTTTTTGTGGTTTCCGGAGCTGAAAGATCCTTCCAAGGCTCCCTTATCTAACTTAACTTCAACCATTTGACCCTGTGAGTTCACAGTGCTCACAATTTGTACAGTGGGTAGACAGTGAAAAGTGACTGCTTATTTTGGATTCCAGAGCTCCAAAACACAGACTTGAAGTCATGAGACTTGCTCAAATGGTGCAGAATAGGTTCTAAAAAATGAATATGAAAAAATAAAAACAAAAAAACGAAGTTGCAATATTTGTGAAAAATAAAAAATAAAATTTATTTTTCTCAAAAGCTTTGAAATTCATTTTGGGGGAATGAGAGTGCTGAGATAAAGGAAGATTGGGATATTATAAGAATGATCATGAATGAAAATTTCGGAAAAATTCCTTTCCAGATGGCTTCAAACAGCTGTTGGGTGGGGCATTCACCAGCCCACATTGCAGTAGAGCACTAGAATTTACTGTTTTGGCTCCAATCTAGACAACCAACCTGGCCAAACCTTTTTTGGTCCTAGTTTTTTTCATTTATAATCATTCCTGCCATTTTCCACTCTTTCTTTCTCTCAGCACTCCCACTTCCCCAAAATGAATATCAAAGCTTTTGAAAAAAGTTGGTTTTATTTTTTATTTTTCACAAATTTTGAAACTTTACTTTTTGTTTTTATTTTTCATATTCAGTTTCAGGGACCTATTATTCACCACCTGAACAAGTCTCATAACTTCAAGTATGTGTTTCAGGGCTCTGGAATCCAAAATAAGCAGCCACTTTTCACTGTCTACCCACTGTACACATGTATTATTGTGTTTTGAAGAATGGTTGGACATTTTGAGAATTTCCAAGTCTGTAGGTTATGTGATTGCAGTGCACAGCACAGGTTTAAATTAAAATCTGGCGGTTTGTGATCATTGACTTTATTTCACAAGGGAGAGAGAAAAAAAAGAAGAAAAAACCTGAACTCAAAATCATGGAATGCCATGATTTTGGAACAGCAAACTTGGAAATCAGTCCAAGCTTTCTTCAAAATAGTAATTCAAATGAGTGTCATGTTTAGGCCCCCAGGGCGGAGGGCCTATGTATCTATTATATTATATTTTGCCGATGGAGCAGTGTTGGCTTGTGCCATAAATGCATAAAAATAGTTTTTCATTTACAGCTATATTAGGGGGTATCAAATATAACCAAATCCACCATTAATTAATTGACTGGTTTGAAAAAATCCACCCTTTTTTAAACATGTTGGTTATCCATTTAACCCCTTTTGGGGCCCATTTATGCAAAAAAAAGTTTTTGGAAAAGTGACTGGTTTCTGATGGTGGATTTCCTATATTTGATACCCCCTAATGTTTGTGCTGATTCCAAACTTTTTTTATTTTTTTTTCTTCCAATCCTCCAAGCCCCTAGCCTGTCAGGTAAATTTGCAGGAGATTACCTCCCGATTCTCATGAGACTTGACCCAAAAAAAAATGTGTGAAATCAGGTGACCTCAGCCGGTGTGTGCTCCGTGGTACTTCCACTACCACCTATACTTGATATTCCGCACAGGATATCTGGCAAAATATCAGGGATACCCAGTAGACACCCGTTTTCTTTCTGTAAGTTTTCTGTAACTTTCTGTGAAATTTCTGCAGGTTAACTGTAAGTTGCTGAAGCTGCAAAATCTCTGTAAGTTAACTGTAAGTTGCTGAAGTTCCAAAAGATTGCAGAACTGTTACAGAAAATTTGCAGAAGTCAGAAAACATGTTAGATAAAAAAAACTGATGTCTACTGGATATCCTTGATACTTGACCTGATATCCTGTGTGGGATATCAAGTATAGGGGTCTGTGTTTGCAAAGGGGCAAAAAAAAATTTGTGCAAGAAAAAAAAAAAAAAAAGAAGTGCAAAGGGCGCAATTATTTACACAATGGAGGACTTCCCGTCAACATCTGCGGGTCTCCCAGAACCAGTTTAGAGCCTTGAAATTCAAATTTCCCTGCAAGAATTAAAAGTTTTTGGCTCTAGATTGACTTCTGTGAGGGTCCCAGATCTGACGGGAAGTCCTCCAATAGCTGTAAATAATTTTGGCCGGGATTGGATGACTTCTGGTCAACATCTGGGGTCTCCCAGTTTTGATTTAGAGCTTCAAAAGCTAGATTTCCCTGCGAAAATCTAGACTTTTCGGGTCTAAATCGCAAACTGCGAGGGTCCCAGATCCGACGGGAAGTCCTCCATCATAGAAGTCATTCCTGATTTTACATCAACAGAAATCGAATCGAGTTGTTTTACCTGGGCCATAAATAACAAGGTATGTATATCTTGAAACTGGCGCTTGGTCTACAGATCAGATCCACTTCGAAACCCTGAAGTCTTATGTACACATCGCAAAACATCGTGCTCTGGATCGTGTCGTGATCCTTGGCAGGAGCTTCGATGATGTCCATAAGTTTTTCGAATTGAAACGCGTCTCGAGACTTGCAGCTGGCCCACCAATTAGGTGGCAAGGATTGTTTCAGACGATCGGTATATGAGCCCGTGATAAGTATTCATGCCAAGAGCAGATACATGCATATGTCCAATTTCTTTAACCCTTGACAGAAAGCCTCCAGAATGATGCCGAGCTCTGTTCCTGTACTCATGGGCAGTATCCACTGGGTAAGATCCACCTGGCGAATCGCTCGGGTTGGCATGCGATAGTCAGAGAGCTCCCCCCTCCAATGAAAAAGTAGTAGAAGACGCCTCAGGCGGTCAGTTGGCCGAGGACTAATGTTTCCGATAAATGGCCAGCTTGAACGCTGGTTCCCTCGACCAGATACACGTCATACCGCAAATTGTCGTCGCCGATGCCGAGTTTGAGAGTCTCCGAAACAGCACTGATACATACTCTTGACACAAGTTGACTGTTTTCAAGAGCCACACAATACAGTCGGAAGCTGAGCTTTACAGGAAATTTGCTGTCTTTCTCTGCCCCATAGCTATTGAGACAGGTTTCAGCATTGGTCAACCACAGGCAATCGGCTGCAAAACATTAGAGATTTCATACACCGTATGTATTACATGCTCTTTCCTTGGGGCTTGTCCGGGGTTTGATGCACCTAGTCATCAATGTTGCTCACTCGATGAGACCCGTTATTATCTTGCTTTCCAAGCTCTTGATACTCCCAACGATTCCGCCCCCACTGAGCACCATTTGACGTGGAGTTAGTGGCTAAACATCGACCATAAAATAAACTGCCTTCTGATTCCTCTGATCATTGCAACTTTCCGAACTAAATATTCCATAGGTTGAGGCACAAACGTATCCTGTCCGCCTAGTCGAAATCTTACCACCTCGCTAATAGCGCCATAGCCATCAAAGGATGTTTTTTCGTCCCGATCTGCTCGTCCATGGCGCCCTCTTCGTGCTCACCACAGAATTACCAGCTCGATGTTCCGGTGCCCCAATGAATTCAGGTCCACTTGCATTGGTCAAGGAGGCACCAAAATCCCAGTGAGTCCTTCAAGGTAGCCTTTCCAGGGGAGGCCTCGATGTACTTGTAGTTGATCACAAGCTTCCAACATTCATTCATGAAGACAAATAGTTGCAGGACCGGAGACGGAGGTAGCGAAGTTTCAGTAAGTAATGGCTCAGAGAAACACCAAAATAAATCGGCACAGCTGACATCCTCCTTGATAAATTTCGCTTTGTCTTTCAGTCGGGATCTCAAATCAAAATTAGTAAAGTACGTTAGGGAGATCTGAGTCTGAAGCAAACCTCTATTGTGACTCTGACGTCAACTTGGACCATGCCTTGATGCTTAATTTTAATCGTCTCAGTGGGAACGGACAACACGAGGTGGAATTCTCCACGCCTAGCATGATAGTAGACAATGGGGACGGTACCATTTCCGAGGTGTCTGAGAAAACGTGAGCAAAATATGCCTGCTATGCTACTCGAGCTTGCTTCCGAATCTTGACCATTATAACCAAACGATTTCCAAAAAGTCAAATCGGTTCTAGGCTGATCAACAAATCCGAAACATCTGCTGATGGATCAAAGATGTCTTACAAAGGCAATCAATCGTGGACTAGGTAAGTGTTTATACACTCGCGAGGAGCCCACATCCCATTTCAGAACCGAAAACCCTTTACGCTCCAGTCTATTCACAAGAGCTGATGATTTTTCTACCGCCCAATGCAGGAAAGTGACTGCAAAAACCACGTCCATCCCAGGGCTACTCCAAAACAACCGCATCGCATTGCCCGAGCGTGTACTGCGTGCTTTGCTCCCGATGTCTCAAGAATCTCACAATGCCCCTGTTGGTTTGCTTGAGTCTTCCACACCAGCAGCACCGCTACATCAGGCGACGGCGCCCCATTACAGGTTTATTACATCATATCTGGCAACAATATTACGACGACCGATCGCTAATTGACCTCTAATTCTTTGTGTTGTCCTTACAGCCATCAGGCACCACCACTTCAATCGCCCGCTCAACCTTATGGCCCACCAGCGTCACGGGAGCCTCTCATCGAAGAAGTTCACGATGAGGAACGTAAGTCATCAACGCATGTCAACATTTCACTTCATGCAAATACCATCTGATGCTAATGATTTTGGCAATTCTACTTCCTAAATAATATGAAGCGGCCTCTCACACGACTTCCACTGTTCATGATCCGCATGATCACGATTCTCACCAACATCCACAAGACGAGCATTCGGAATCTCCCAATCAAAGCCAAGCGGAACCTGCTCACAGCGCCGAGGACTCGCACGACCACGCGGAACCACCAAAACAAAGTCAAGTGCAACCTCCCCAACAAAGCCAAGTGCAACCTCCACAACAAAGCCAAGCGCAACCTCCCAAGCAAAGTCCAGCGGAATCCGCTTACACCGTCCAGGACCCGGATGACGAACCACAACCTCCCCCACGCAGTCAAGCGCAACCTCCCAAAGAAAGTCATGCGGAATCCGCTTACAGCGTCCATCACCCAGACGACGAAGCACAACCTCCTAAAAAATATCAAGTGCAACCTCCCCAGCAAAACAAAGTGGAATCCACTTACACCGTTCAGGATCCGGATGATGAAGCGCAACCTGCCAGACAAAGCCAAGTGCAAAATCGCATGCCAAACCCATCGAATCAAGGTGTAAACCGATCTCCAGCCGCACCCTACGACTTCTCCGCAAAGCTGGGGTTTGCGCCGAAGGAAATGTAAGCTTTATTGGTCTACGACAACGCACTAAATGCCCGTTGACTGAAAATTGTTTCACGGGATTCGTCATATGAACTCCTTACAGTGATTTCAAGCAATTTCGGATCATTGCAGAGCGACACATGGGTCTGGATCCAAAAACGCTTGATGAATTCAAGGCTTCGTTCCAGTACGTCATAACTCGGAGCTCGCAATAAAAGAAAGCCAGTTGTGGTGACCATCAAGTTATTGATCATTTTTACTTCAACTCTACTTCAGTGCTAAATATAAGCCCGCTCAATTGGAAGACAGCTTCAAGATTGATCAATCATCCATTGTCTATCACTACCTGAAGTGGCTGAATGACAAAGAGAAGACGTAGGTCTCTTTGTGTGATTTTCTCTCATCAGTTAGCATGCTCATTCAGCTGGAAAAATTCAACTTTTTCCCTTCGTAGTTGGAAAATTTCCGGGCAACTGGAGGACGGCCTCAATCTGCGCCAAGGAACACAAATTTTATATCCAAAGTTTGATAGAATGTGCGTATCCATAATTTCATATTCTCAATGGCCATGGAATCTGTGTTGAAAGTCTGACCCTTCGGTTTATCAATCTGAATAAATCAGGAACTTGGGAGAAATGCTGGTGTACCATCATCCCGAGATCACCCTGAGGCAAGAGAAGCACTTTGTGGAGTTTGCAACCAAGAAGATTAATCCCGACGGCAAGCTTCTCTACCAATCTGTGGATCATCAAAGCTTTGGCAGACTGTATCAAGAATGGCAGGAGAGCAACAAGGGCTGGAAATTCAAGATGTTGAACTTGTACGATAAAGCGCTTGGAAAGGCCCGCAACTTTTTCAAACGCTTCTCCCAGCTTTTCAAGAGGAAAAAAGCATGAGATGATTTGCAACAATTGTTGACAAGTATCATGTCGTCTTTCTTTTCGACTATATTGCATGTCCTTTTATTTTATTTCTTTACCAAAGGATCTTCCAAAATCAAGTCACTTCTCATTGTTCTTTAGTTGGAAATATAGAAGTCAAAACAAGATCTTTATTTCATCTTTTGTTTCATTTTTGGGTCCCTTTTTTTCTGCACACAACCAAAATTTGTTTTTTACATTCCTTATAATCTTGACTTTATCATGCAAATCCAATCAAATGTTTCTCTGTGTTTGTTTATTAAGGGTTGGATATGAGTGATAACGAGTATAAATAAAAGGGAATAAGAAAAAGAAATTCTCTGGTGCCAGCACTAGATAGCATCATGCAATTGCCAATGATTTATCATTTATGTTTTATGATCAAACAATCTCTGATGTGGAAAATGACAGAGAAAGCACAGGCTCTGTTGAGCTGTCATAGATGGATGGGATTTGATCTACAAACAGCAGCATGCATTGCTTCCTTCACAGCAAATGAGCTTTGTTTTGAACTATGGGGGCAAGCAAATAACTATGTCTTTGGTTTGGTAGTAGTTATTCTGAATGCTAAAAAGCATGATCTCACCCTCATGCTTGATTCATAAAACTCTTTATAATGAATTTCAAAAAACATTAATGGTGATAATTAATCAAGGCAAGGAATGAGATTTACCAGAACCTTTCTTCACCTATTTATGACTTGATGTGAACTGCTTATTCAAGTTAAGTTTGTGATGTGGTCTGCACTGTTCATTTGGGACTAAAGGAACCCTGAGCAACTGAGGATGGCAATCAAAAATGGTACAATGTAAATTTCCATTGCACCTGGCCTGATTCATAATGTCAGCAAGATTTCATTAGCTTACAAACTGCATGTAACATGATTGAATTATTGAAATTGGCCAATAAGTTTTTCTTTATTCAATTTGAATATGATGATTAGTGTTGATAGCTCAGTTTATGTGGAAACAAATGGGGTCATAAGAATAGCATTTGAGTAGAGCAAAATGGTATACACTTATTTAGAATTTTCCAACAATCACCAACAATATGATTTACCAAGCCATCATTGGCATGAGCTTCCAGACAAACCTCAAATCTGGTGGATGGAGGACTCTGAGAAAGGCTTGGATTGAGGTAGTGCATCCATTTCCTCAGAACAAGTGAGCATTGTCACCTGAGGGCAACCCTAACCCCCCCCCCCTAAGCAGCAGCACCTGAAACCCTCTATAAACCTGCAAACCACCACAACCCCACCAAAAAAAAGTAACCCTGGGGACCCTGGATTCCCCACACCTGCCCATCTTCCTGGAGGGAAAATATCTCGCTAAGTCCCCCTTGAGCTCACGGCACTGTCCAAGTCCCCGTTTACATATGCATACCTCAGTACATGTACACATCACACCTCATTGGGTGCCTTTGCCCAATTTGCCACTGTGTAAGGCCGGCCGGCCAGCAAGCCTACAGTGCCCCTCACCTCTTCTGACTGTCCCGGACCTGCAAAACAAAAGTTGAACTTTGGGTGGTATGTTTGATTTTGTACTACATGCTAGACCTATTTAATGTACATTTTTGAGCACTATGGGACTAGTAGAATCCAAAAATATAAACCATTGTTGTGTATGATACAAAACAAAAAAAATTGAAACTTTCAAACACAAAATTTGGAACACACACCAAGAAAGGCCATACTATGGCCTCATCATGGGCATGTAATATGTACTTATATAGTATGCATTACTCATTTGTATCATTTAAATACATATTATCAAGGAAAAAGGAGGAAAAAAAGGAGGAAAATGTGGGTACCAGTGAGCCGCATATACATAAAAATTTCAATTTTGATGTATAAATTCCACAAGATTCAAAGAATTTCACATTTGAAACAAAAAAAAAGATCAAATATATGCAAAAAAAAAATGCAAAAAAGGGGGCACTTTGAAGAAAAAAATCTGAAATTTGCATTTCCAAAAATTTGGAGTACCCTGACAGGGGTAGTTGAGAAGAGGTGAGAACCGCCAGTCCAACATCCTCCTCTCAACAACACATATATCTTACAGTCCTCTCACCCCAAAACAACTTTGAAGTCACATTCCTGGCTGGCACTAATTCACCCCCTGCTCAGCACAGCTTGAATCCTCATACTGCTCCACACTGGTTCACTCCTCATCCTTTTGACACACAAGATATCATTTTTTGTAGCTTGAATTTGATGTTGTTTTTTTTCACTCATACTCATATGCATTTGTCATAATAGGTAGAATTGAAATTTACTTAGAAATCAAAAATTGTAAGAAGAATAAAAACATCTTAGAGCAAGATCCAAAGATACAAGAGCAAAGGAAGACATGAGAACAGGAAAAAAGTAATATAAAAAAAGCAAAAATAATACCGGAAATCAAGCAGAAGACATATATTCCTGTAGTCTCAGAAGTCTGGTAATTGACTGCTGTTTGAAGAATTGTCTCCATCAGAGTGCAAGTCTTCATGAGGTGATCCACCCATGGACGAATCTTCTTGATTATCCTCAGGAGGCAGAACCCGTTGCTTCTTCTTTGCTTTCTGGGATGTTTGCACTGGGATTTCCTTGTCCTTGTCATCAGTGTCATTGATTATTATTTGCTTTCTTCTGGTTGGATTTTTGGAGTAGTGTTGTTGTGCTGATGAATTTTTGGCTTTCTTCATATGAGTCCTGTTTGAATTGGTCTGAGCTCTTCTAGCGGTCCGAAATCCTCCAGCGGTCCGAGATCCTCTAGCGGTCCGAGATCTGCTAGCATTGTTGCTTTGAGGTGTGCAACCGTCCTCATCTTCCAAGACACCCCCAACCTTGCCTGATTGAGGAGCCAGTGGTCCTGTAAGCTCTACCCAACCCTCCCCAAAGGTGCATAGGATCTGCTTCAGTCGGTCCTTGTCCATATCTGAGGGAAAACCACAAAAGTCCTGTGTTGTGACTCCTTTGGTATTGTTCTTGACCTTCAATACAACACCCAACCTCTTCAACTCTGCATTGGTGTTGCCAGGCCAACCACCATTAAAGGTGCCGTGAGTGGAATCTTCTACAAGTACGAATTGATGAAGAATGTAGAATAAAATGAGCCGATTCAGTCTAATTAATTCTGATGTTCAGACAAGAGAGGTTGCCTCACTCAATGATTGAGCCAGTAGTTCACACACCGCATCCAAATTGAGTCGCTTTGTACCTAGATTCATGTTGAATAATCCTTCCTGGAGGGGGGGACAAGGAGGTTTGGGAGTTTGGGACATGATTGCATCTAGATGCTGCAGTGCTGCTAGGTCCTCTGCTTGATTCAGTTGTCTGCAAAGCCAATCTTCTTGCTTCACCCTGGGGCCCAAGACTCACTGACGGGCCATTGTGGCTTGCAAATTGAATCGCCTGACGCAAAGTGACCAACGTGTGGAAGTAGATATTGAAACTGCCAATCAGTTGATCAGTCATGAAAGAAGGTGAGAAGACTGTGAACCATACGTGTGGAGGTGATAATGTTGGATTATCAGTTGATGGTTTGTGCTGGTGATAAGAGTGATGTTGGTGTTGGTTGGTTGGTGAGTAGTGAGTAGTAACTCATGTGCTGTTGGTGTCGGCAGGTGAGGTGTAACAGATGTTGGCTGGGGGTGAGCCGTCAGGTAGGTTCGCTGGCCGGCCGGCCTTCGAGATATTTGCCCTCTAGTGGGCAGATGGGCAGGATTGGAGATTATGTACTCTTTTTTGGCGGGGTTGTGGTGGTTTGAAGGGTTTGAGAGGGTTTTGGGGGCTCCTGCTTAGGGGGGGGGTTAGGGTTGCCCTCAGGTGAGCATTGTGGCCAGTAACTGCTGGCATTGGTCTGCACCCAAGAGGTTGTCTGTCATTCCACCTGATCTTGTTGTGATTTCGATGTCCGGTGTTGCTATAAGTAGGTTGATTGACTTGGTTCAGATGTTCCACCAAAGTGCCGGGCGCCATATCGGCTTTCATGCTTTTCGCAGGGAGCTCATCTGTTTAACTCGTTCTTACTCCGCCCGGCTCGTCTCAGATGCATCCAGTCTGATAGGATAAGGTCAAATGCGCGGTCTGCTTCCCGTGAGTCAGGAGCTTCGTTCCCTCGCGATTCCTGTGGATTTCCTTTGGTATCTTCTTTGACTGTTGTATCTGGTTTGGCTCGTAGGCTGATATATTGCTTGATCGAAACGGCCATCAAGTCCATCCTTGGACCGCCTTTCTAAGATCACACTTTGGTCAATGCAGCCTCTTCAAATCAAGTGATTAGAACAGCAAGGCTTGCTCAGCACATGTACTCCGATGGCCGAGCTTTTGGTGATAGCCAGCCGAACTGTGCTCTCTTCCGGCTCATGACCGAGCAGTATGGATAGAGTTGAAGAGAATTTCACAGGATGGTCTTCAATCACCGTTCTTTTACACCAGCCTTCATATCTAAGCAGAGAGAGAGCCCCGTGCAGATCGCCAAGCACTAATTATCACAGCCTCCCCGAGCCATCCATCTCGGCACCCTCATGAGGCCAATTGCTGAGCGAACAGGTTCGGATAACTCAGTCGGAAGCTCAAGCCAAGGCCCAGAGCTATGGAAGCTTCATTTGGTCCGGATTCTATTCATCTAGAATAAGGTTTCGGGTAAGACCAGCAACCGTTCTCTCTCTTCACTCGAGTCTCGATCAGCCCGACAGCCGGCCTATCTAAGATCAGCTCCGGCGATAGCTCTCTGCAGAGTCCTGTGACTAGTGTGGACTTCCCGAGCTTAATAATTGCGGGTAAGAGAAGCCTCCAACGATCTCATCGACGAAGCTTGAATCGATGAGTTTCAGTGTGGAGGTCTTCCAGTAGCCAATCCATCACACTGCCACCACTGCCGATAGATAACAAGTCAGATCGAACACGTGAATATACGTAGTGCGTATAGCGGGCCACAAAAAAAAGGAACAACCCACCCAAGATTCGCATGTTCAATAGGGTACCGACTTGGAAAGAACTTCTTGGCTTGTAAGAACTCCCAGCAGCCGTGTTCAGTCAGAGTGGTCTGCTTCTGGGATCGAGTCTTCTGTGCACCGCCGACGAAAAAGAAAAGAAAAGCCGACGGTGATCATGGGTTTCGTGCCGTCTACTCTTGATCATCATCAGCGGAGGTACGAAGCCGATACCAGCACGATTGCTGTTCCGCCTCTGCTGCCGGCGTCCCAGCTATCTCCCCCCCCCCCCCCTCCCTGTGGGATCAATCCGAAGCGGATCACGGATGACCGTACACTAAGCCGTCAGCTCTGCCAGACCTGAGTTTCTCGATTTTCTATTTTTTTTTGGTTCGGGTTAAAAGAGAAGGGTTCGAACAGCCTAGCCGTTTTTCCTCTTTCGTCTATCCACCAAGAGCTCTTCATCACCTCCTCACAAGAATATCAACTGATACTTCCAGTAAAATAATCAATCACACGTGACACAAAGGAAGTGAACCACTGTTTTCGGCTCCAAAAATCATCATCTTGGTCAGTCTGAACCTCCGCTATAGTATATCGTAATTAGCCCAAATCTCTACGGATCAGGTCCTAACAAGTTCACCCTTCGGGATATAAATATTCTCTCCAACAGACATTCTTCCCCCAATTGTAGAATGTATCCTAGCCTTGTGTCCTCGTTGCATCGGGATCGATTCTCGATTTTCTCGCATTCCTTAGGAGACCATTCGGTGCACAAGCTACCCTACAAGCTAACAGCGGCGGCCTTTGGGGGTTTCCCGGCAGTCGAAATCTCGCTGGTCGATCTGGAGGATTATGCGAGCAAGAAGGGCTGTGAGTTGCTAGAGGCGGCGCAAGAGATCGGGGAGGTCTGTCGACTCTTGGGTCTGCGGGTCACATGCATCCAGCCCTTGAGGGATGTGATCGAGTCCAGGAAGCCGGCCTCCGATGGGGTCACGAAGGCCTTGAGGCTCTTCCCTGTCATGGACGCCCTCGACACCGAGCTCCTCTTGGTCTGCTCTTCCTCTCTTCCAGCTGACCAACTCGACCAGTCCCCCGAGACTGCAATCTCCCATCTCAAGGCCATCGGACTCGCGGCTGCTAACTGGGGCCCTAAGCCTAAGAAGGTCGCCTTCGAGGCTCTTTCCTGGGGCACTCATATCAATCTATGGCGTCAAGCTTGGGATATCGTTCAAGCGGTGAATTTGGAAAATGTGGGGATTTGTTTAGACTCCTTTAACACTCTAGCTCGGTATGCAATCAGTCTCTCTCTCTCTCCTCACCATACATTCACCAGAAGAGTTGTGAAACGTAGCTGACATTTTCCAATCGTCTGGGTGATGCAAACAGGGAATGGGCCGATCCAACCGTCGAAGGAGGCATCCAAGCCGATGCGGACAGGAACCTGAAGGAATCGATGAGTCAGCTGAGTCAATTACCTGGCTCGAAGATCTTTCTGCTCCAGATTGGGGACGGGGCGAGATTGGGGGCGCCGATAGAGAGAGGGACGTTTGAGCGGCCGGCGTTGATGAGATGGTCGCGCTCGTCGCGCCTGTTCCCGATGGAATCGGAGCTTGGCGGCTATCTGCCGGTGACCGAGTTCATCGAGGCGGTGGTCAAGACCGGCTATTCCGGCCATTGGAGTCTAGAGATCTTCAACAACAGCTTGAAATGTGAGGCCGATTCGACGCCGATCACCCACGCCATCAGAGGCTTCCATGGCCTCTCAAAGCTGGTCAAGTTCGTCTTTACCAACAACCATCATCTGGTCGACCAGCCCGGCGATCCGCTTCTCGCACAGCCGCCCCTCCAGCTCCTCAACCGCATCCGTCCCTTCCCCTTCAAGCCCACCTTCCACAGACCTAATCTCAGCTTCAGCGCCAGTGACTCAAGCTCCATCGAGCTCAACCATCCTTGCTCTCCCCCCCAAAGTGACCCCGATCATTTCGAACAAGCTATCAGCACTTCCCCCGGCAAACTTTATGGCTCCGAGAACGATCCCTCTTTCCACCCTCATCTCCACATCTCTGCCTCCAATCGCCCTCTACATCTTATATGAATCCTGTCTCCTTTTTCGCTCGCTCACTTTGTCCATCCCCTATCGTTTGCTCCCCTTCTACCCCTCCCCCCTTTCTCTTTCCAACACTTTCATCTGATCACGCATATGCGGTTTTCCTTCATAAGATCCCCTTCCTGTCCGTCCAAAGATAAACCCCGGAGCTCGCTGCGGTCTGTTAGCTTTCGATTCAAGTCCTAGTATTAATCAATCCCCGTGCAATGTCACTTTAACTTATGTTTACAAATTCAGGTAGAGGTAGTCTATAACACTCTTCCCCCAAAAACTTTTCCTTATGTATGTCGTTTCATGTGTATTAAAGATGCTGTGCTATTCAATACCTAATGTTTGTGGAAATCATTTACATACATATTTATCCATGGCCTTCAAGAACATGGCCAAGTGGGCCATGCACCTTTTCTGAGAACACGGCTGTACATACATACAACATATATGTAACTAGGTTCTCCCTGTTTAATCAGCCTGGACAAAGCAACACAAATATCATAGATATTATCCCCTGCAAGAAGCCATGTTCTTGGGAATAGCCCACCCAGGTTCAGTGGTAGAGGTTTTTTCGTTAGAGAATCACTCAAAATGGATCTCTAGTGTTCAATGGGATGCTTGATGCTGTGAACACATCATCACCTCCACAAAATGAATTGTCACATGAAGTTCAGATTGTTTGCAAACATTTTTTTTTTCTCATTCCAGAGTATTGCAAATATGTTTTTCTGTTCTGATTCTGCAAGATTGAATGCTACCCTTTGTTTGATGATGGACAGTGAGAATTTACAGATCTGAGGATCCAAGAAGGGTTTATATCTAACAAGCCCTTCAAATCTCATTGGTTCAATTGCCATAAGAAAACTACGGAAGGGCACAGAGGAAAACACGAATCCAAAATCCATTGTAATATTATTGATCAATTCAGGGGAGAGCCCAGAATTGATTTTGAGAGATGTAAAATAAGCTTTAATAATTCCCTCAGTCTATTTTCTATCCCTGTAAGACCAATTAACATAGAGACCTTGCGTTTGTTATCTTGTAGAAGTTTGATAGGAGGTTTTTCGAGATGAGTTCTTGAGGGTTGATGGTGGTCATTGGCCATGATCAGCTTAATGGCTTCGAGTTGCACTTGGCACTTGGCTATGTGCCAGGACGTTCCCCTCCCCCCCCCCCCCCTAGAAGCTAGCCCAGAACCCTCCAAACCAAGTCCACTTTGCACATGCCCATGTCCGGTGGCCAAGTACATATGTACTAAGCAGGACTCAGGCCTGGTCTAATCATACTGATCAGAGAGGCTTCAAAGCTATGAATATGTGATTTCAACTTGAGAACATGCTGATTGTCAGTCTTTGTATCTTTTTCCTTCATTTGAGGGGATTTGTCAAAGTTTGTCGACATGGGCCAATATACAAAATGCAGATGTGGTTCATTTTTTGCTTCCAGTCTGTGATTGTCCCCCTCCCAATGTTCTAATGGTTCTGTGAAACCTGCTGGTCTCTTTATGCTTATATGTAGATCCACCGGGAATTCATCCAAAACAATGGTGATTGCCATTGGGCATGCCCATTGGTGGGCACATGTGTCATTGGATTGCGCAATTAATGTAGCCAGATACGTTATTGGGGAAGAAAAAAATATGATGGTGTCTTGTGCCCGGCGGATGGCGAGTGTGCCGAGAGATGCGCACATCATTCTTCCGACGTCGGATGTCTGGTGTTGCCTTAATCAACCTTGGAAAAACCACATTTTCCCTGGGCTGCGAGCATAAGGTATTTACAGCAACGGGACCGCATGATCCCCCAAAGCCCACTTTGTTTTGTTTGAGCAGTCAAATCGGCACCCTTCGATTTCTATTCTATACGGTGTGTCGACTGACAAATTCCAACGCCCAGATTGCATTTGATCTGGAACCGGAAAACCACTGCTTGTTGATCCCCGCGTGATTGCTGTTCGGAGGCCGAGGTTTCTCTGCAAACTGGTTTCACCCCGGAAGGCAAAGATCACCTGGCTTCTTACAGCATACATGTGATCAACCGTTATTGCTGAGCTCTGCGGCTGAAATTTGACGCTGAAATTCCGTTGTATACATCATTCGCGCCACCGGCAATGTGTCTGAATTAAATTTGGGTGAGAGCAAGTTTGGTCAACCTTTTTTTTGATTAATGTGTCAAGTCGATCTCATGAGGTACAACGGTGAAAGTGTTCGAAATGATGAGAAATCAAATTCATCTCGGCTGGACCAAAAGGCATATCAAGCTCCGAAGGACTCCCAGTTTATTGTAGTTGTTGATTCGCAATCGCTTGTCCGTCCATCTTGATTTGAGTAGCCTATCGAAGGATCCATGCCGCACGTAGGGTTCTATTGGCGGGAAGACCATTCGAGGATAACAATTCGTGTGTAGGCTTTCGGCCTCCTTCGGCGGACACCGGCTTCTGCAACCTCGTCGGGTTTGCATACAAAAATAAGCGTGTACACAGCTGATTGATATGAATTTATGTACTCAAGCGGAAAGTAAGGCCATGACTGGAAGCTGTATTCTGCATACATTCATGCGGTCGCAAAGTTGAAGGGTTTCATGAGACCGGAATGTTTCATCCACATTGTTCGGGATGCGCTATGCTATGCGCTACCCCCCTGGTTTGATTTCTTGACCAACTCAAGACAGTTTGGGTAATACTTTTTGTACTTGAACTTGGTTTCGGCATACATAAAACGACCCGAAATATATGATACCCTGTGGCAAAGCGTCTGGCCGAGTACTGTAACACGTTATCGGGCACGGCTCGCGTGCAAGCCGTTTTTCCCGATTCGGGCCATCATGCCGGGATATGTCGACATACATATGATGTGTGATGTGGGTTGCTCGAGTGCCGAAAATTGGCCAGACAGGCACCGACCGGCAATTTCCAAAAATGGGCCTCTTCGACTCCCATTGCCTTTTTCTCCAGCCAGCGCAGCTTCTTTCCATCTTCAAGACTGTTCCGATTGATGCGCTATCCATTTTTGGCAAACTGACCGGTGAATGCACGCAGACTCTTGGCAATCGCTTAACCCGTTAATCCGTAGGCTTATATTGAGTGCCCTGGTTAGTTATCTTTCCCTTCCCTCCCCTCCCCCCTACCATAGAGTCCATGGACCCAAAACCAATCCGGCCAAACAGAGTGGTAGCAGCCTTCAATCTGACGTTCTGCATACCAAAGGTTTCCTGAATTACATGACCGTGGGATGATGATCTGGATCAAGCAAATTGATGATAAGCATACCGTAGGGGTCCCTCATGAGTCCTTACTCGTCCTCTTCGGCCGCCAGCACATCTGTGTATTGGCCAGCTTACATCTGCAAAGATAATCCATTTATTTGTTTATGCATGTGAAACTTTCCGAACAAAAAAAAAAAAAAAAGACGAGTCGTTGAGCTCTCTGTAGTATACCCTTGAGCAATGTGCCTTTTTGTTTGAACGGCGGGTTGACACACCCTCAAGCAACCAAATTGCCCATTTGAGATTCTTCATTGCCACTAGTTTCCGAACAGAGTCATGGCCCTTAACCGTCTATGGCTTATGGAAAAAAACCTCAGCCAATTTATACAACACCTATTCCTGACACCTACCTGAGCTTGCTCTCACCGCCCCTTCAAACTTCAGCTTATCTTCACCCGAGTCTGCTGGCTGATCGTTTTACGCTTGTGCTTTCCATTTTCCAAGTTTTTTTTTTATCTTCCTGGAAAACTCGCAAAATTCAGCTGCTCTCAGCCCACGATGGATGGTGAACTATGGCGGAAAGATGTTGATATGGGCAAGTATGGAGGAGATCCTCTGGCCAGCGTCGATGTGGGCTGCACGACCATCGAAGAAAGTCTCAATATACCCTCCGCAAGTCCTCCCTCCACGATTGTCTCTCCTTCACCGGCTGATAGTCCCGCGAATGGCCTACCTGAAGGAGCCGTTCTAGTCGTATGGGCACCCGGAGATCCTGATAACCCCCAGAATTGGTCAATCGCCTGGAAATGGACAATCACCATCTTCTGTTCCGTTTTGACCCTTAATGTGTTTGTTCTCTTCCCTCTGGTTCATCATTATGTGCCCGTGCCTGTAATTTCAATTACTGAAAAAAAATGTGATCTTGTTTGTTTCAACCACAGCACAATCGCCTCGTCTGGCCCCTCATCAGCTACTGAAGCTATCATGAGTGAATTCCAAGTATCAGAGGTGGTTGCAACCTTAGTGACCTCACTGTTCTTGTGTGGCTATGTTGCAGGGCAAGTCATGTTTTTTTTTTTCAAACTCTAGGTCCATTTCCACAAAATTTAATAGAGCCATCTAAACAACTTTCTTGATTGGTCTTACAGGCCGATAATTTGGGCACCGCTATCCGAGATGATCGGGCGCCGTGATGTTTTTATTGGGACTATGGGATTCTTTTTCATCCTTCAAGTGCCCATAGCGGCCCCAGATTCAAACCTGGCGACCATCATGACGTTCCGGTTCCTAACTGGGCTCTTTGCCTCGGCACCGGTATCTAATTCGGGTGGGGTAGTAGCTGATATGTGAGTGTACTTTTCAAACATTTTCTTTTTTTCGTGCCAAACTCGCGCTGCTTGGGTGTGTTCTACGGCACTTGAGCTCTTGATTACAGCACCACTAATCCAATCAATTGATTCACTTTTGCTTTCAGTTGGGACGCGGTTCATAGAAATGATGCCATCTCCTTGTTCACAGCCTCAGTCTTCCTCGGTCCTGTGATTGGGCCAGGTTTGTGTTTTTGATGGTGTTTTGTGATGATTGGACTGCAGTGATTGAAAAATGGGTTTCGTTTCACTTGCAGTTGTAGCTAGCTTCATTGTCGAATCCTCTCTTGGATACCGATGGATTTTCTGGGTCTTGATGATCGCGAGTGGCGCCACTTGGCTGGGATCCCTGTTTTTGTTGCCAGAAACTTACTCGCCAATCTTGCTCTCACGCAAAGCGAAGAAGCTGCGCAAAGAAACTGGGGATTCAAAGTATTACTCTGCTCACGAAAAGTCTGACTATTCTGTCAAAGCGATCTTTCGACGAACGATCCTTCGGCCTTTCGAAATGCTGTTCACAGAGGTGAGTTTCATTCAGTAATACAGACTTACCTGGAAGGCACCAACTAACAAATTTAGCTGTCTCAAACCTAGTCTATTCTTCTTTTTGTAACTGTCTACCTCGCTTTGGTATATGGACTACTCTATGGTCTCTTCGAGGTGACCTACTTTCAAAAAAGTCCCAACTACTCCCCGAACAATGGACTGAACAGTTTTCCTCGCTTCCATGTCATACAGGCATTTCCAGTCATTTGGGGCGAAATTCGAGGATTCACTCCATGGCAAACAAGTTTAGTCTTCATAGGGGTCGGGATTGGATCACTACTCGGTGCACTTTTGAATATCTACCTTGCCCGGCCAATGGTAAGAGTAGTTGAAAAGTGGCACGGCCATCCGCCTTGCGAAATGAATCTTTACGGAGCCATGGCTTCCGGCCCTCTACTTGTTATTGGAATATTGTGGCTTGGTTGGACGGGAGCATATGCGGCGGTCCCATGGTGGGTGCCCGCACTCCCGACAGTCTTGCTGGGAATCACGTAGGTTTTAGGTTGACTTTGTCACCTTGTCTTATGAGACCGCTAATGATGATCAAATCTTCCAAATAAAACCCCAAAGATTCACATCGGTGTTTATTTCATTCCAGTCGTATCTGGTTGATGTCTACCTGATGTATGCCGCATCAGCTTTGGCTGCAACAACCATGTGCGTACATTCTATTTGAAAATATCAAACTTCTTGACGGCAGAAGAAGCTGACTTTACGGAATGAATCGATAGCTTTCGCTCTGCCGTAGGCGCCGCCTTTCCCCTGTTCATGTATGTATTGCATTTATTTCAATGGAATGATTTTTTTCTCTGAAACCAGACGAGTCTTATTGGGTTAATTGGGTTTTTCTACGCAGGCGACAAATGCTCCATGGGATGGGAACTCAATGGGCCTGCACATTGGTAGGCACATTTTCCAGATAAAAGATAACGCCGAAGAGTAATCCGCCTGACCGTTGTTTCACCAAACTTGAACCAGATTGGTTGCTTTTCCCTGGTGCTCTTACCGATTCCATTTATCTTTTACAAACATGGAGCCAAGCTTAGGGTCGGCTCCCACTTCGCCCCGGCTCTGGACGTAAAAATGAGAGCAAGAGTTGCCGAAGAAGAGGCAGAAGAAAACTCTAAGACTATAGAGAAACAAGTCTAGTCTGGAATTGTGCCTAGACACAAACTGTTTTGTTCACCTCGAGCTAGTATCCAATTTTTTATAGGCGTCAAAATGTTTATGTATAGTACCTGAAATGTCACACAAGTTTATTTTTTACCTTGTTCAAAAAATATCTTCAATGATCGGTATTGCGATGGTAAGCATTCTCCGTCACTTTCTTATCCAAGTATATTCCCGCCCAGCTTCGATCAGCTCACGTTTCCCAGCCAAAAACACATTAACAAGATATTGTGACTAATTTTGATTCCTTTTTTCTACCCCTTTTAACTCGGACTTGGAAACTGCTTACGCAACATGCAACAACAGTCCATCTTGATTTCTTTCCAAAAACCTCATACACTCAACACTATATATACAAGTAGACCAGATTTAATTTACATTTTCAAAAAAAAAATCCATTCTGTTATTTAGTACACATTCTACTCATAGCTTCTGTTGTTGTAAAATTGGTGGACCCAATCCATGTAGGTTGCTGGAGATGAAGTTTCTTGATTACATACACTTTTCTTTTTTTTTGGAACTTGTAACTAGCCGAAGAACTTACGAAGAAAATTAGCCTTGAATTATAATGATGAACTGTTCCCGTGATAAATATACTTACACTTGGGTAGTGCTCCATTTTTGTTACTGAAACATTCAATCATGGGTGATTGGTGGTGAACTGGAGATGATTGAGGGTTAATTATCTTGATTAGGATTATACTGCAGTGCTCTATGCCATGGAGTAGCAATCTTTTCCAGCCAGAAAATACAGGGATGAACCCTGAAGGTTGTGTGTGCTTCAAGAACATGATCCACAGCCCATCTGAGGAAATCTGAAGATCATCATTCAGAAATATGATTGGTTCTAGTGTTTTTTTTCCATCCAATTTCCAAGCAACAGGGGTTCTAGAAGTCTCTAAATACAGCAATTGGAAACTTCAAATTTAAAATGGTAGTCTTATGAGTGAAATATTGGTATTCTTGGACTCATTATTGACTCACAAGGAATGGGATTGTTGAACATCCCATTCAATGTAAAATTATTGGAAAACATTTATGTTGGTTGCATCACTTGGCTATCATTACAGCATGAACTGGATAGTGCCAACATCTGATTTTGATAGTGTGGCTGGGCAACCATTGATAAAAATAATAATTACACAGATTAAAGTCAAGATGTAACCAATAGTTAACTGATTGACTGGTAGTGAACAGAACCCAGGAGACATAACTTGACCACATAACAATCCTTGTCAAACGTTTTTTAAGATTTATGTCAATGTGTCATATGCTCATTCAATGTTGAGTGCCAATAATCCTTTTCCCAATTTTATGAATGTGAATACATACATATGATAAGAGCCCTGCTCATTCTGCATTGATTTAGTCATGTGGTTTGCAGTCTTTTTCTGATTTTTCCACTTGTATCGTTTCCTGGCCATCAGATTGGCTCTTGTGAGGAGCGGCTGGAGGACAATGGTGGTACGTACCTTCGGTCATGACACCTTTGTTTAACCTGTGGTTTTGTAAGCTCTGTTTACGAGAGGTTTGATTAAGGCTTATAACAGCGAGATCGGTGGTGCTCCGCGGCGGCTGAAAAACGAAGCGGAAACCTCATAGGACTGTCTCGTTGCTTGCCTGTGTTAAAATCATCAGTTGGGTGTACGTGTTTATCAGTGTCTCGCACGTCAATAGATTTCAGGAAACACTGAAGAGTCGAAGATAGCTGCAGCCAAAGCCTGGCCTAGCGTACCATCCCGAACGAAGACCTTGTGTGCCGTCGAAGGGATGCTCGCTGATACTAGATACGTTGGCACTTGGTTGGATCAGTTGGCGTTGGATCCCGATTTACCTACATAAGTTGACCTGCGCGGTTTCAGAGAACGCTGAAAAATCTTTAGCCATCGAGTCAAACCTCTCCTCGCAGCGTCAAGAAGACCTAAGTGTATTTTTTTTTCCGGCCACTGAACAGCTCATGAGTTCATTGCGGCAGGCTTGACTAGGAGGGATGATAATGGTATGTAAGGAAATATTCGTCGAGACATGTGTCGCAGCGCCCCCGATGGCAAGAGCGTATAGAAACAAGACTCCTTATAATTGTATGAGACTGCGTAAAACGGTCCTCCACATGAGGCTCAGATCGGAACAAAAAATGCTGTTCACTTGATGAGTGGAAGAGTGACCAAGGTTAAGAATAGTTGATGTAAGCTGCTACGAAAAACTGAGCATATCTGTTGATGTCGACGCAATCATCTGTCCTTGAATAGGGCACACACTCGCACTTTCTGTACAAATTTATTTATCAGCTATAATTAGTACGACTTCAGCACTTTTTCTTCTCAAACGGGTATCTAACGTTTCATCATTTGGACTAAAAAGCTACTAGAGGAGTTTTGAAATTCACGCAGGCTTTGCCGTGAGCTTTTCTTCCATGTATTTATCTCAAAATAAACTGCATGTCTGAAACTAGATCGCCAACATGGGCAAGCTCAGCTTTACTTCACGGTAAACGTTTTGTAGACTTGCTTGCTTGCCAGTTCATCTTGAGGAGCACATTTATTTATTTTCAGATTTGCTTATCGTATCCTCTCTTGAATCTTACTCAGCTCAACACAACCGGATCTTTCACAGATATGAAGAGACAGAGTGAAGTTGAAGTCTTGGGAGAACAGCGTAGTATCCCGGGAAACCATGGAACCAAGACAAGAACAACAAATTGCGATAAGAGCCTTACAGAATCACGGACTAAGACTAGCATACCGCTACCGGATGTCTCTCACCCTACCACCCGAAAAACAGCTGAAGAGGCGCCCTTGAAGTTTTATGAAGTAGCTTGGGTACCGGGGGAGCTTGAGGATCCTCATAACCGTAGTTTGGCTTCAAAAAGGATAATAACTGTTGTTTGTTGTACTGTGGCTTTTGACGTGTTAGAAAATTCCTCTCGCCTTCATCGATGCTGAACGCAAAATTTAGCTATTCCTGACTCGTCACTTTCGCCTCAAAACTGGTGGTGTAGTGCATTCGCTTCCTCCGCTCCATCAATGGCTTGTGCAGCGATTGCCCATGAGTTCAACGTTTCTACTGAAACAAGTGCATGGGTTACATCTCTTTTTCTATGCGGCTATATAGCAGGGTAATTACCTGCGCTTGAATCTGTATTTTCAATTTATTTATTTTAACTCTTTATTTAAGCTAAACCGTGTTAATTGGAATTTTGTTAGACCATTGCTATGGGGGCCACTTTCCGAACTCGTCGGCCGCCAACCAGTCTTACTTGGTACTTTCGGAGCCTATACACTTTTTCAGCTAGGGGCTGCACTGCACACCAATTTGCCTGTCCTTTTTATGTCAAGGGCTCTGACTGGATTCTTTGCCTCGGGGCCACTCACCAATAGTGGCGCAGTTCTAGCTGACATGTGGGTCTTTTTCGGTTAAACACTTTCTGATCTTTACATGCAAATTTTATGTTACTTCAAATCAGGCCGGAACATCCTGTGGTCCTAACAAAGCGACATGCCAAAATTGACACAAAACTAAATACAAGAGAAACCACCTTCAGGAAAAAAATTGGACCGTTTGATTGAGGAGGAAGATTCTGTTTTTCAAAGAATGATTGAATCATAAGCTGATGGTGCTTCTTTCATTTGGGGAATAGATGGGATTCAGCTCACCGCGTACAAGCCTTGTCTTGGCAAGTGACGATGCCATTTTTAGGAACTGCGCTTGGACCAGGTCGAAATTTCACGCTTATTCATCTCGCATTCACAATCTCGGTTAATTTTACGGTCCTGACTCGCAATAATTTGTTTCTTTTTTAGTTATTGGAAGCGCACTAGTTGAATCATCTCTTGGCTATCGATGGATCTTTTGGGCCATTATGATTTTTAGTGGCGCAACATGGTTCTTAATTCTGTTCACAATGCCAGAAACGTATTCCCCCATTCTCTTAGCGAAAAAGGCCAAAAGGTTAAGGGAAACAACAGGAGATATGAATTTCTATGCTCCACATGAGAAGGAAGATTGTTCAACCAAAGGGATTCTTCGAAGAACGATATTTCGTCCAGTTGAGATGATGCTAACCGAGGTGAGTCTGACTTAGCTTGAAGCTCGCCTCAATCAGTCGAAAGGCTGACATTTTTAACATATCTCCAGCCTATACTCCTGCTCATTGTGACATACCTTTCAATTGTTTGTGGAATGCTCTACAGCCTCCTTGAGGTAGGTGATAATGGATCTAAAATAAGGGTATTTGCGTGTAGTACGTGTTAATTCATTTTTGATCATCAATATCCCACCTCAAAGACGTTTCCTATCATCTGGCAAGACATCAGGGGATTCAATTCACATGAGACTAGTATGATATTCATCGGACTGGGATTCGGATCTGTCTTGGGAAGATTCCTCCAAGTGTTTCTTGCACGCCCGATGAAGAGATTAGTGCTTGAATGGCAGGGTAATCCTCCGTGTGAGATGAATCTGTATGGAGCCATGTTTGCAGGACCATTTTTTGTTGGTGGAATACTTTGGCTAGGTTGGACCGGTGCTTACGCCCATATACCCTGGTGGGTACCCGCGTTATCAACTGTTTTTCTTGGAATGTCGTGAGTCACTTGTTACTCCTAGGAGGTGAAGTTTCTTGATCGTTGAATATTGACGGTGTCTTTGGAAGAGAAGGTTCAATCTAGCGTATATCTCCTTGCAATGCTACTTGGTCGACGTTTATCTTACCCACGCAGCCTCAGCGCTTGCTGCTTCAACAATGTAAGTCCTGGGCAAAATACACATTTCACAGACGCTGTTGCAAGTCTGAGTTCTATTTCCTTTTTTTCGAAAGCTGCCGAGCTATTGTTGGAGCTGTGGTTCCACTTTTCACGTACGTATTCTTTGTGTTTTTTTTTGAGAGATATGAATCTGATCAGGTGATTTATATGTCTAGACGTCAGATGTATATTGGACTTGGGACACAATGGGCCTGCACACTCGTAAATTAGCCTCTCATTTATACATACTTCAAATGATCAGTTTTTGCTAACCAGCTAGATGTTTACAAAAACAGACTGGCTGCTTTGCTTTAATGATTTCTGTTTCACCCTTCATCTTCTACAAGTATGGCGGAAGACTGAGGGCCAATTCAAAATTTTCGCAGGCTTTGGATCTCAAGATGAAGGAACGCTTTCGTGCGGAGGGGAAAAAACAAGGGTCTGGGCCTGGCAGTCGTGGATTAGAGCCCAAAGTTCATGTTTAACTAAAACACAAAACTCATTTCTCTTTAGGAAAAGCATCTAATCTTGAATCAAAATGAACACATTTGCCTGACTTTTCGTGTGTATCAATGTCGCAGGGGGTTACCTGACTTGACAATCGACAATTATCAACAAAGAATCTTGTGTTTTTGGATAGATCATCCCTTATTTATAAAAAAAACATTACCCATATTCATAAACCTGAGATAGTAAGATCAAAAATTAAAAATACACAAAAAAGTACAATTGATTATCTTGAATCTTTATTATTTCTCTTGTGTTATGAAAAACAAAACTGCTTCTTTTGATTTGAGACCACTGTTGCTGATGAGCTTATGTATGCAGACATAATGGAGTGAGGAAGGGGAGGAATAGCCTACTCGCCAAGGAAAAGTCATCCTCATCCAGAAGGTAAAGGGCATACCTGGGGGCTGAAATTAAGGCTCACCCACACCATCATGCTCAGAAACAGCTTTCACAATGCTTCATCACCAATAATTTTTTGAAGAGTGATTCTAAAAGCAATTTTAATTTAAGTTGAGCTTTCAGGGCTTTGAGAAGTGAATAGTTTCTGTCTGAATTTAGTATGTTAGCCTTGACAAGTTTTTGAAAAATCAGAATCTTCTTTTATTTCTTCACATCCTTTCATTCAATTTTCAATTATACCATTTTTGGCACTGGCATCTTTCTGAATTGAGAAATTGATCTTGGATGTGAAGGATCTGCACTTATACCACCTGGGAAAGAGTGGCACATTTTGACTTTGTTCAAGTGATAAGTGTGGTTGGTTCAAGAGGATTTCCTTTGATGACAAGAAAATGTCAAGTTTTTATTATCATGTAAGCTTTCAATGTCTTTCAAAAGGTACTAATGATTGTGTAATGTTTGAGGTATGTAATCTATGAAAGGTGAACTGAGACCTAAGGCCCTGTTTGGCCGTCCATTATTTGTAATTTTGAGACAAGGTTTGGCAGGAGTTTGTGCAAGAATTTTATATTGTTTGATATCACACGGTCTGAATCCGCACCAAACCTTAGCCAAATCACAAAGAATGATTTGAGGCCAAACAGTGCCCAAAAAACTGGGACGGAGAGACAGAGTCTTGGTATATAGAAAACTTGAGGGATTATTGATCAAGGGAAACCATGAATGAGTGATTTTAGCTGGCCAAGTGTGAAAAATTAGATCAAAAGTTTAAAAATATAGCCATGAACAAAAAACTTATGCATGCTTTGGTTGAAAGTATCTTCTGAGGGCTTTCCAAAATGATTTGATGAGTAATTTGAATTGTTGCTTCCATGAGGAGGCCTTTGTTATCTGGGCTGGTGTTTCTTCTTGTGAGCTTTTCAGGGGTTCTATTTTGATCTCTAGTTGAGCATCTGAGGATTTTGGGCCTCCTGGTAGTCCAATAGGCTCTTTTGGGTTTCTTACATATGATTCTGGACCAAATGGGGATCCTGATTATGTTGAATATTTGGAGATATTAAAGGGTAGATTTACAAGGTCAGACTGTTTCAAAAAAAACCTCACCTTTTATGTCAAATGGCATGTTCAGAAAAATATTGAGCTCACCTTTTTCTGCTTCTTTAATCTTCCAATCCTTAATGCCTCTGGAAAGATTATCATAACCCCATGGGACACCAGAGGAATCATGTGTGGAACTCTTACTTCCACCTATCAAGTACCATTCTAAAGATTCCCTTTGCCTTTTACTGAGTGTTTGATCCATTATTTTGATGTAATCTTCTAGCTCACTATTTAGTTGATGAAGATTTTTTCAAGCACAGGTGGTTTTATTGATACCCTATCTATAAATTTGATTTGCTTGAGAAAGAAAAAAAAACATACAGATGTTTTAGGTTTTCAGATAATTCTTCCAAAACCACATCCTTATCCTTGGATCTCAATATTTCATTGTAAGGATTCCTTGATACAATTTATGTATGAGGAAGAATTTAACAATTAGCTCAAGATTTCTTTCTATTTTGCTTTTTTTTCTGAAGAAGGTTTACAAGAATAACTGACATGAAACTCAAGATATTTTTATCTGCCCATTTCATGTGGGCATTTATTAGGGAAGATACATCCAACTTGACTGTATCCTTGTATTTGTTTCTCCACTCTTTCACCCTGGAATATTTTTTGAAGGAATTAAAATTGAATCAGGTGAAATTGTTGTTTCCAATCATGATAAACAAAACTTACACATGCCAATCAGCAAATCTCTGAGCAGTTTCTGAATCTAATATACCAGATATTTTGTCCCGTGTCATGGACGAGTACTCCTCCAAAGTTCTAAAATCAGGCAGCCCTCACATTATCTCAATTTATATTCTTCTACCAAGGCATGGATAATTTAAAAATGAATAGCTAACTTCTTAAATTTCCTGAAATTGTAGAAATTTGAACAAGAGATGACTCAAGCATCAAATTAATTCCTTCTACTGTGATCCATGGAGAATATGAAAATTCACACACCCTGTGCCATTGTCTTCCAATAACTTGAACCAATTTTTCAACTTATTGATGTGTTCAACTCTAATAATTCATAACAAATGGAGAAAAACTTAATCAGAACTGTACTTGAGTTGAATATAGTAAAAAAACCTCACGGCATGATGTTTTTCTCACCCCACTCAATGTTCATTGAAACCAGATCTAATAAGGTAAAAGTTTTACCTGATAACTTTCCCTTCAAAGTGCTTGCTCTAAAATCAGGATTGAGTTAGTCTGGTAATCTCCTATATCATTAGATTATAATTTGATAGAAGATCAGATCTCAGAGGTTTCAGATTGCAAAGCAACAAACATAAAATTTTCTACAAAACCATCCATCTGCCTGGGAGTAAGATTCATCTTACGCCCTGCAATAGCATGGAATTCCATCAGTGTCCTAAAAGAAAATTTTCACATCAGCAATTTCTAGCTATCTATAAAATTTTGTGTTTTTAGTCAGAAAGCTCACAGGCCAGCTTGCTTTGATTCAGGTTTTGGCAAAACAAATGATTCACGAGGGTATATCATTCTATCATTTTTTCCATTAAAATTGGCTGGGTGACTTTTAGAATAGAAAAAAGAATCAAAACTTGGTTTATTCAGATGATTAACAGCCAGATCAAACACAAACTCCTTACAAGTTCAATCCAGTGTCTGCTATATGGGGTCCCCTGTTCCAAAGGACCAGGTCAAAATGAGGAAAATAAAATGAATACTGGTATCATCTAAATGACATGACTTGAGCCCAGGTAATTGTTACAGACTTACATTGTTGGTGGGTTTTGTAAGAAGGTGCTGAGAAATCCACATCCAATGTCATAAAGTGAGGAAATCAGCTCTTATTCTTTTCCACAGTTCCTTCCCTAATGGATCAGGATACTTACTCGGTTATTCTATTTGATTAGTAGTTCATTGTATCAAATAAATCTGACAGGTGAGAATATCACTTTTTCTTTTAGCTCTCTTTGCAGACTTACTTGGCACCTCTTTCCCCGGTAATGAACATCCGTTTCGAGAATTTTCCCAGTGGGTGCTGGGCCGTTGGTTTTGCCATGAGATCCCAAAGGCCACAGGACTAGCGTACTGGCATGAAAAAATATCATTGGCTGGTTCTTTGTGGTTTATGTTAGAATAAAAATGAATGTCTCGGAAATGAACGACTTTGAAAACGCTTGCAGTGAAGCCAATCAAGAAATTTATGCAAGGAAAGACTTGATTTGAATCTGTGTAAGAATAGTGGAGTGCCAGAAGACAGTTTAAAGTTTTGATTTGTAGCCTCTAGAGTGGTGTCGGATGGGGGGGGGGAAGTGTCTTGGGAAAACATCAGTCTCATTATTGTGACTTGATAGCACAGCCTTAACAGGCCACGCTTGACCTCTAGCCTTACCGAGTCGGTAACCTAATTATTGATCATGTTGATTCACGGGGCCCGAGGTTTGTGGTACAGTGCGCATCACCTCTTCTCGACTACCCCGCACCTGCAAAAAAAAATTTGAACTTTGATCTGTATGTTTGTTCACACCAACCATGCTACATGTGTAAACAATGCTTATTTGAGCTCTACAGAAGTAGTGGAACTCAAAAATATAAAGCAAGATTGTGTAGCATGCAAGACAAAAAAGTTTGAAATTTTCAAATTCAAAATTTGGAACACCCATGGAAAAAGGCCATACTATGGCCTAGTGGGTATGCAATATGCATTTATATGGTATGTATTATGCACATAGACCATCCAAATACATGATATTGAGGGAAGAAGGAGAAAAAAAATAGGAAAACCCAGTGCCAGTTGTCCGGCTAACTTGCAGTCATAATTGAAACATCCATCATTGCAGCCCTTGGAATGCAACAATTAGATCTCATCAATGATTTCAATTGGCTGGAGCTTTGGCTGTTGCAAGCTTTTTGGTTTTTTTAGATGACTTTGTTCTGATTGTGTCTCTTCTGCTGATAAGTATGGACGAAAATCTCAAAAAAATCAAATTCAAAGAAGAAAAAACAAAATGGCATTGAAAAAAAGTGAAAAGAAATCAAAAAAAAATTCAACTCCCATTTTGAAAAATTTGGAACACCCTCCTGGGGGTAGTCCAGAAGAGGTGATGCGCACTGTAGTCGTAGTCCCCGAGGCTCGGGCAGGCGCAATCATTACCAAAGCCCCCTTGTGTAATCGCTGGGTTGCGACTTCCCGATTGCAAAGGGAAGCTTCAGGTCTGAAGAGATGTATCACCAACAAGCGCACTGTGATCGGTATATGTATACCTCTCGAAGTTGGCGGTAGTCGCTGCCACACCGCATTGCCACAACCTTCAATTTCTTGGGCACTGTTCCTCGGAGGGGTGGGGGGGGGGGGTGATATCCTCCAATGCCCTTGGCTTGTTGACAGCACCCGAGCTGATTGTTGTTCCGGTAGCTTGTTCAGCCCTTCCCTGCAAAAACCAGGGCCAACCTCTTCTACCAAGAGTCAATCCATGCTACCTATAAGCCACGTGAACGGATTCAGTATCCATAGATAAGGGTGGGCCCCGGGTGATACCCGAGGCCTCTGGAGCTTCCCGCGCTGATACCCTGCGGGTATACCCGATGTCGGGTATCAACATTCCTGGTCCCGAGCGGTATCCGCCGGGTATCCAATCCCCCCGACGGGGACCGGACCACTTAGCTGCACGATGGCTCTGTGGGAGATAAATTCAATTCTTACGAGTTGCACCTCTATTTTCTCACTTCAACAACTCGAATAAGTCCAGGAGCTTCACAATGACAAAAAAACGGCACCCCCCAGCAAACACTAACCCGCCAGCTTCTCAGACTGAGGAAT